TTTAATATTTCTGATACTGTATGTCTGTTGGTCAAAGAGTCTCTCAACTGAAGATGTTTTTATTACACACTCTATACTGAGGGTTATTTTCTCTGGACATGGAATTCTAGGCAGAGTAATTTTTCTTTCACCTTTTTAAAAATGTCATTCCTTTATCTTTTGCCCTATATTGTTTCTGATCATTCTGATTGTTATTCTTCTATATTTAAATGTGTCTTATTTCCCCCCCCCCATGCTTTTAAATAGTTCTCTGTATTACTGGCTTTTAACAATTTGATCATGATGTATAGATTTCCTTGTATTAACTTGTTTGAGAGATTCATTGAGCTTCATGGTTTGTGACTTTTCTTTTTTCTTTTTTTTTTTTAATCAAGTTTGGAAATTTTTTGACCAGTATTTTTTCAAGTATTTTTCATTCCTAATTTCTCTATTTTTTTCCAGAGACTTTAATGATATCTATGCTAAACATTTGATAATGTTCACAGATCAGCTGAAGCTCTGTTCATTTGTTCAGCCTTGTTTTCCTTTTGTGCTTCAGTTTGGATAGATTTCATTGCCCTGTCTCCAAGTTCATTGGTCTTTTCTTATACAGTGTCTAATCTGCTTATTAGAAAACTTCACCTATCATATTTTTCATCTCTGTAAATTATATTTGGTTACTTCTTACTGCTTTCATTTCTCCTGTAAATCTTCGAGCATATTTATAACAGCTTTTTAAAGGTCCTTGTCTTCTAATTCCATCATCTCTGTCATGTCCGTATGTTTTTCTCTTGATTATTGATCACGTTTTCCTATTTCACCTGAAAAGTAATTGTTTATTCTATGCTACTTGCTGCATATACTATGTTGTTGGTTGGGATTTTGTTTCTTTACTTGGAAAAAGAGTTTTGTTCTGAAAGACAGTTAATTCACTTGCAAATGCGTTTGATACTTCAAAAGCTGGGTTTCAAGCTGTTTTAGGGCATATCTAGAATAATTCTTAATCTAGGATGAGAGTAATCCTTCTAAGATCTGGCCTTTCTGGGTCTCATCTTATTCAGCAGGGTCTCTCCTCTCTGGCAGGTGAAAATTCCAGAACATCTCCTAGTCTTGTGTGACCTCTGAATCTTCACTGAGCTCAGAGCCCTCAATTAGCTGTTTTCTGACAGGCTTTGCAGAGATTCACTCTACACAAATGCAGTTTAATATGTAACAAAAGTCTTCAAGGGGGGCCCCTCTGCACATTTCTGGAGTTCCTTTTGTTGCACAGTTCTCCCTTCTTCTTGTTATTCTGCCCTAAAAATTTGAGCCGCCTCATCACTGCCTCCTTGGTTCAGTAAGTTGGCATGCATTATTTGGGTTCCATCTCTCTCTGTCCTGGGCCAGAGAACTAGAATGTTTTCTCTCATGAGTCACATTTCTGTGCCACCTCAGTCCAGTTTCACAGTCAAATATTGAAGGAGGGCTGATCCCACACCAGTTATGTCAGTTTTCCAGTTCTCTTTCTACAAAGAAAATCTTTGAGAAGGGCTCCCTATGTTGATTGCTCTGGCATCACTCCTCCCATTCATTCCCACCTTCAGCCTCTGAGCATATGGTTCCATTTGCCCTGAATGCATTTTCACCCTCCTCTACCTTGTAGAGGTTTTCTGGGTAGCTGTCTCCTTGGTCTCTCCAACCCCTAACCCCTCAGTAATATGATTACTTTTCTTGAATCCTTATATTCTCTGAATTTTTTGCACTCATTATATTTTCAGCTTTCCAGAAAGAGAAGATCTCAGTGCTTTGTTATTTTTTAGCTATCCTGTGTGTATGTAAATATTGCATATGTGTTTCTTATGAGGGAGTCAACCAGTCTGTCTGAGATGCCTTTATTCTTTCTTGGTCAGAGCTCAGGTAGGAATTCGAGCATGCTAATGTTCCATGTGAGGTTAACAGGTGGAGTAAACTGTTGAGTGAAATGAGTTGGGAGCTTGTAAAGTTCATCCTGGCCCATCTCTGCCCCACTCCTGACGCTGGAGTTGTGCCCACACCTCTCTGGGCTTTGGTGACCCCATCAGCCTTGTATCCATGAGGCCAGTGGTAGAATAATATGTGAGATGGCTTCTTGGCATGGTTATGTCCCTTCATTGGAAGCCTATCTTTTATGTGCTCTACTTTAGTAGTGCTGAGCTTCACTTTTTTATAGCCATTCATGCATTGATCACAGACTCCACAGTATCTGCTGGGCACTAACTGTGTTTCAGGGCCTGTGCCAGCCACTCAGTACATGGTGGGCCAAACTGGCCGAGTTCCTGTCTCACAAAGCAGACACACTAAGAGGAAAAGAGTCACTGATCAAAGGTCTTGCCATATGCCATTACTGACAGTGATCAGTTCTTGGAAGGAAAGTGGGAGGGCACTGAGTCCAGGTGAAGAGATACTGGGGACAACTCCCCAAGGAAGTAGTGTTTATGTGTAATACTTAGGACCAGCAGTCAAAATTTTGAAGGAAGAGTGTTCCAGGCAGAGGGAATAGCATGTGCAAAGGCCATGAGCTTGAGAGAGAATAGTTACTGTAGGATGTGAGATGATGAGGAGTGAGTGGCTGGGAGGAGGCTGGTGAGGTGAACAAGTCCCAGGCAGGGGGAGTTGGAGCAGCAGGTGATACCCCCACATTCATGTGCTCCCTAAACCCTGCCCTGGGAAAAGAGGGGGCGGGCACTCTTCTGTGCAATTCCAGCATTCTCACAGCAGGAATTGTAGATCATGACAAGGTCTGATTCCAGTGGGCTCCTCAAAACCGTTCTTCAGGAGTGGAGATGGAGGCCTTGGGGAAAGCAGCTTGCTTAGACTGTTGCTTAGAAGCTCATTCCTTGTGCCAGACTGGCAGAATGTGTGGGTGAGTGCTACAGGGTGCTGGTGGGATACAGGGACTCTTGGCCTTGTGCAAAGGTGTCCTTGAGTAGCTGGCACACTCAAGCTCCTGTGTCAGCCCAGTACTAATGTTCTCTGTGGCCACAAACAAACTTCTGTGTGTAACCAGAATCCACCTCTGGGCCTTGGTTTTCTTACCTCTAAAACATACCAGTATTAGCAGCTAACGTGTGCAGAGCAGTTTACCATTCGGAGTATCTGTCGGGCTTTCTTTGGTTTTCACAAAGTCCTTGTGAAGCAGGCAGTGCAGAGACGGGCATCCCATTGCTTTCATGGAGGTGAGGCAGGAAACCAAGGCCAAGAGAGGGAAAGTGAAGAGTCCAAACTTGTGGAGGCCAAAGGTAATGGAACTGGGATTCAGAGACAGGCTTGCCTCACTCCATTCTCAGTGCTGGTTCTGTACAGCTCTGGTTGTCTGATGGAGGGAGACAACAGAGGAGCCAGAGATGGACTCTGGACACCCATCACTGCACTGACTGTGCTTAAAAAAAAAAATTGGAAACTATCAGATGAGTGTCCTTCTGGTTGGACTCAGGGGCCTCTGAGGTCTTTGGCTCAGAAAGAGGAGGGAAAGTAGGAGGAATAGAGGAAAGTGTCCTTCCCACCTGGACCTCTCACTGCCTGGTTCAAAAGGTGAGGTGCCAGAGAGTGTTCAGGGAGGAAGGACACCTGTGTCCTCTGCAGACTTGGGCTGTGGGAATTTCCTTCTGAGGCTGGTCTCGGGCTGAGGGGGGCTTGTTTAAGGGGCCATAATTGAAGAACTCCCCAACTCCTGGCCTCTGGCCACCACTGTAGGTGGAGGAGTGGGTGACCCCCCTCCCAAAGGGGCAAGGGGCAGGCTGAGTCCCCAGAGCTCCCCTGAGTGCCTCAGAGGAGTGAACAAAGGGCGTCAGAGTGTCCTGGGGACCTTGGGCAAGGTCATGTGCCAGGATGGGCAGAGTGGTGGGGCCCTTCTGGCTTCTGAAAGCAGTGGGTGGAGTCTCAGATGCCCAGGACAGATACTGTCCTAGAACTGGGAGATCCTGGGGTCCTCTCCACTCCAAGGGTAGGGAAGCAGCAGCCCAGGCTGCTCTAGGCCAATTCTGTGACCAGGCACTGAGGCCTAAGGGTCCTGCCATGTGTCATTAGTCCCTGGCTTCTGTGAGCCCCTCTTCAGCACCAGAGGCGCCCTCCGCCTTGCTGCCTGGTCCTGTTCCTGCCTCCAGGGGAGAGCTGCAGACTTCCCATGATCTCTGAGAAGCCTCCTGCCCCCTCTTCTTTAGTTAGTTGTTAACATGGGCGTGTGGCCAGGTTCGGGGCTTTGCCACCACTGCC